GCCCCGGGATTAGGGATTATGAGCCCCGAGTTGCTTTTTGTCGCACAATGTTAGAAAGACACTGGAAAGATCCACAGTTCTTTGAAAAAAAATTATCATTTAGAAAATTTATTGGAGGACGTGCCACTGAGTATTTACAGGGATATGTGGTTTCAGCATGATGGCTGGCCAGCGCACTATGCACTCTCAGTGAGAGAGTATCTCGATCAAAACTTTCCAGGCAGATGGATAGGGCAGTCTGGTACAATACCGTGGCCAGCCCGGTCACCAGATTTGAATCCGTTAGATTTTTTTTACTGGGGAACTGTAAAAGAAAAAGTGTATTTCAAGCCGATTCAAAATGTAGCTGAGCTACGGCAAAGACTATTGGAAGCAGCTGAGTTTGTTAATAACCGTGGATTCGCTCGCTTAATAACACGATCTTTTTTAAGAAGATGACGAGCGTGTATTGCGGCTGAAGGAAAACAGTTTGAGCATTTGCTGTAAAGGTAAATCATCATCAGCAGCATTTTGACGCCCACTGTTGTGCAAACAGTTATCCTTAAGGGTCCTTGTGCGTTTTCATAATCGCTGTTTAATTAGGAAATTTTGAAGAATTTTCATCAGTTTTTTTTCAAATAAAAATTGTGCATTAGTTAACGAGTAATCTTCTAAGTGTTATACCATTTTGGAATCGTTATTAAATGCGGCAACTTTTAAGGTTACTTGCCAAACTCTCGTAGTACATATTTTCCAGTACAGCCAGTTAAAGTTGAGCAAAGTTTTACTTTGGAATACTTGGTTGGGAAATAAGTGGCAATTTTTCCTGAACGAGAAAAGTTGGCAGTAAGGTTGAGACACCAGTTTGAAGTTGACAGACTGCCGTAGGGTGTGAAATTTCTATATCTTTTTCAAAGACCTATAATTTTCAAAACACATACATAAAATTTTTTTAAATATTTTTCTGATAGCTGTTATGACTTTGCCTATCACCCGGTTTCGGCTTGACGTCGACTTCTGGGACACCCTGTATAATAATAACAAAGCTGTATTACCACAATGGGAACATTGCAAGACCTACTGCCCGGTTGTTTAATGCGCTCGCCATCGAGAAAATTGACCAGTTAAAAATGAAGCCGCAGAAATAGCAGTTTTGGGACACGTGGCACTTGACAACTACCAAAGCACTCGTGGACTGGCTACTTCTTCAGGATTTACACGCTCAACAGCATAAAGAATTTTGAAAGACAATAAATTTCACCCGTACAAGATGAAACTCGTACATCAACTTAATGACGACGATTTTGATAGAAAGTTGGTGCTGTAAATATGTAGACATAATTGTCGATATTGGAGTGACTCGAATCCACATTTGTTCCGAGAGGTACACTAGCAATATCCTGGAAAATCAAAGTGAGCCGGCATTTACGGAAATCATGTTGCAGGACCATTCTTTACACCTAGAAACTTGACGGGCGAGACGTACTTAGGCATGTTAGAAAATATAATACACGTAAAATTTTATACACTTTCAACAACATACTGTATAATTATAAAATTTCTGGGGTTAACATACGCGCCACCCTAAGACTTGGAGATGATAACAGCCTGAAGGCCAAGGTGGCTTGCACCCTATCAACAGGCAGCCAGGCATGCCCTATTTTAACGGATGGAATACCCTCACCGAAAAGTTTGTTCACACCTGCCGGTGTTGAATTTGCCGAGGGAATGATTTAGCGCAAATTCCTGTGGCTACATTTGATTCGGAAATACATTTCACCATCCAGCCTCCTTAAACAGACTAATCATCAAGAGATTGCTGGTCTGCCAGACGAACCCGACAGGCTTTTGCTTAACGATCAACTCGGCTAATCTCTGTATGCTTAAAAACTTGACTAGTATCTATAATAAAATATCCGCCAAGAAAAAATCGATTATACTCGAGTATAACAAAAGCAGTGATATGGCATCAAAGATACGAGGGTGAATCAAATATGAACCGGACTTTTTTGTTTAACGCGTCATACGTGAATGGAGTGGGGCGACGTCTTGGTATACACATACAGTAATGGACAAAAGTATATAGACAAATATGAATATTTACCTAAATACCTTTAGAAAACGAATTCGTACTAACAAATGCGTTATCAGTAGAAAAACTAAATTCCTCGTTTTTACATTAACTGCAATGAACACAATACAAGTCTGAATATAAGCACTTTTTTATGTGGGACAAAAATATGTAGACAAATTCTTTTCAACATTAGTACAGTTTCGTGTCAGAAGAGGATTAGTTCGTGTTCATCAAGTATTGTGGACTAAGTTGAGTGATTTTAAGACCATGCCGCGTGGTCCAGAAATTTCTTTCGATGTAAAAACTAAGATCATACATACAAAGATGGTCAACGTCAAATCGACATCGCCAAAAATTTTAAGCTGAAGCGTAAAGCAGTTTGAAGAAGCCGCTAATCTCGAGGAAAAACCGTAAGGACCGATTACAATTTGCACGGTTGCATCTTGATGGAGCATCTGTGACTGGAAGAGGTATGTTTCGGTGACGAATCCAAGTTCAATATGTTTGGATCAGATGGTGTTCATTACGCTAGACGTCCTAGTGGACAAAGATAGAACCCCAAGTACACTTTGCCCACTGTCAAACATGTAAGCGGGTCATGAACTTTATTATACCAATAAAATTACTAAAACCAAAGTCCGGTTCATATTTGATTCATCCTCGTATCACCCGAAATTCAAGTGTAATTAGAACTACGTATTCACGAACATTTGTAGCAGACACGTTTTCGTTCGCATACGTCTACATCCATTTGAATAATAGATGCATAATATAACCGTGCATTTCATTGCATGTTATTTACAAACATCTGTTTATAAAATCGTACGAGTTATCGAAAAGTGAATTATAACTCGATTATTTTCGTACACCTCATTCCGATATTCTTGGGTTGTTTATAATACAACCTGCTGGCATTTAAGTTTCGAAACTGCTTAATCATCTTATACAGAGGTAAAATAAAATAAACAAATGTGTACGATTTATTTACACAATTGACTTGATGATCCTTGCGTTTCTGTTAAGTGTTTCATTATTTATTATACAGGGTGAGCTCGGTCGATAACTCTGCTATTACGCATTGTATCTAAGAAAGTAAAATACAAAAATTGTAGCCAACGGTATGCTTCTAATTTGAAAAATATTTTTTTCTGTATAGGGTGATGATTCATAACTACGTGGTAACCCAAACATCAAATGGAAGGTCCTAAATTTTATTACAGATTTGAATAGGTACCTTCAAACGAAGGAAGTTTTATACAAATAGGGTTTGATTTTCAAATTGATGGGATATTAGACAATCCGTCGATGAAAACACTCAACTTTGACAAGTCACACATCCGCAAAAAATGTATGACCTCTTACTTTTCCCGTTTTTTTCGGGTAGTTGATACAGGGTGGTCCAGTACACAAAATCAACTATTTCCCAAAATGTTCAAATGTAGCACCCTGTATATAATATTTATAATGGTTTGCATGACTGGTTTTTGAGTTACTGAAAACACAGAGAGGGACGCGCTTTTTGTTTCTTTTTCTACATAGATTTTTTTATATACTCTGTTACGGGATTATTCTTCCTATGTTTGTTTGTCCCTCTTTATTTTTTCTGTGTATATCCAATTTGTTTTTGTTTCTCTCTCACACAGTGGAGTTAAGTGTAAGAGTAGCCCTGTGGGTAAATTTCGCCTCTCTGATGTGCTTTATTATTGTTATATACGAATTTCAAATAGAAACACAGTAGGCCGACCAAATTGCCCATAAATTGGAAGCAGTGCTCGATGCACTCTCTTAACCGAGCATGAATTTTGATAGTAAAATTCAATAATTTGCAAGCGTTGTATGTTCGTAAGTCGATTGATTCATGGTTAAATTATAGACCAAACTGAACAAGTTTGACAATGACACAAGACACGATTTACGCGTCATCTGTCAAAAACAGTGTTGCCAAAAAGATACTAGCAAAAAAATCACCCATTATAACATTAGTTGTATTTTTTCTTTTACATAAGACGAAATGTTCATTTGATTTTACGCATTTCCTGTTATTGGGTGCACATGTACCTGTTGGAAATAAATGTCTATCTATCTATCTATCTATCTATAAGCAAGGGCCAGTCCTCTGCCATCTCTCTGATAGTTATTTGCGGTTGGTGGCCAACATTTTTTTCACTTTGTCGTACGTTTTCTTGTTTTCGATGTCGATGGCCTAGCGCCGCGCTCGTCATCGGCGATGGACCTGTCGAAAACGGCTGTTTTCTTCAAAGCATCGTTGCCGCAGCATTTTCCTAGCATTTCCGTACCGTTGATATTGTTTTTATCACAAAATTTAATGCTAACGCGTTGTTGTTCATTCAGATCCATTTTAAAAATCGTGAACACGCTCAAAGGCACATGTAGTCAACTCGACGTAGCTTTGACAACTGATGATGCAATGACGCCAAAATTCGGGAGGAATATCAGTGAAAGTTGGGCACCATAACAAGACAGACGAGCGCCACACGGCGACTGTTCCGATAACTTTTTGATCAAGGTGGTATCGTAACACTCAGTTTGGATTCCAATGGAAAGCTCCATGTTCTAACAGTTTATTCGTACGTCAATATCTGTTCTACCCTGGCACTCCAAATGAGTTTATCGTCATCAACTACGGCAAACGATTCCCTTTAGTTGCGTCGCCGTGCCGACGAATAGTGAATTTCTTTTTGCCATAGAGGAAAACCTGTTCGAAAACATTGCCGGCCGGCTGCTAGCATGGCGTAATGGCTTGCAGCGGCAGAGTGTGCTATGCAAGGCAATGGCGGCGCCCGATCGGCAGATGTTATTTTTGTTTGTAGGTGCACCACCACACGAAAAAGGTCAGGACTTTAAATTACCTCATGCATATGACGGGATGGCCGCGTTTGCAATTTCGGAAGAGATGCGGAGCTCGTGAAAACAAATCGATGAGATCATGTTATCAGGAGTACAAGGAGATATGACATCTTTAGAAAATAAGTATGTATCTCTTCGGCTATTTATGGACCGACTGCCGCAGCTGTCATTTTAATAACAAAGGAAAATTAGGAAATACGGTAATGGACAAATTAATATTGTGCTGTATTTCTTTTTTAACTTGTTATATTAATACACCAATCTGTATACATAATTCGTTATAGCATAATACTGACTTATACATAAATAAATTCATTAGACTCTCTTCAATAAAAAATTAATTAAAAAAAACTGGAACTATGAAGGATAAAAATATATAGACAAAGCAAAACAATAATTATAGAAAAAAGAAGCAAAGTTCATTGAATTATAGAAAACCAACCATGTTTGTGTTAATATTTTGTAGCATAACCATTATTATCAATCACCGCCTGACATCGTATCGGCATAGATTGTAGAAGTTTCTTGATATAATGTCTCCACTTTTGCTCTAAAGCGGCAAAAAGTTCATCCTTGTTTGAATAATTTTGATCTCATATTTGCTTATCTAAGTATTCCCATAGATTTTCAATGGGGTTTATATCGGGAGACTGTGAAGGTCATTAGAGAACTGATATTTTTTCACCCAGAAAGAATTTCTTTGCGAGATTTGAAATGTGCTTCGGGTCATTATTCATTATCTTGCTGGAAGATTGATCTTGAGGGCATATTTGTCTTTCAAATAGGGTAACATGACATGCTTTAGTATCTCTGAGTATACAAACTTATCCATAATGCCATCTATTCTATGTAAAGGTCCCATCCCAAACCCCGAAAAGCACCCCCAAACCATAACAGACCCACCTCCATGTTTGACAGTGGGGAAAGTGTACTTGGGGTTCAATCTTTGTCCACTAGGAAGTCTAACGTAATGAACACCATCTGATCCAAACATATTGAACTTGGATTCGTCACTGAAACATACACTCTTCCAGTCACAGATGCTCCAATCAAGATGCAACCGTGCAAATTGTAATCGGTCCCTTTCTCGAGATTAGCGGCTTCTTACTCGGGCAACGTGCAAATAACTTCAAATCATTTAATCTTCTACTTATAGTTTTCGTAGAAACACTGACAATTCCTTTTGTCTCGATTTTGGCTTTTATTTGTCTTGGGGTTTTAAACGGATCTTTGGACGAAATTACTTTTATTAATCTAGCTGATCTAGCATTTAGTTTTCTAGGTCGGCCACTTCTTTTTGAGGCTTCCAAGATACCTTTTTGTTTATATTTGTTCAATATTGCCCAAAATGCTTTTTTTTTGTTTTTGGAGCAATGAAGTATGAATTCGTTTTCTAAAGGTATTTAGGTAAATATTCATATTTGTCTATATACTTTTGTCCATTACTGTAGATGCGTCTGAACACTTCCTTCCATGGCCACACAGTGATTAAAAAGTAAGGTTTGGGGCAAAAATGGGGTTAAGATAAAGAACGCGTTCAGCCAACGTATTGTCTTCTTCACGAGTATCCATTATTGTGGAATGACGGCTGATTAACTGGTAATAATTCAAAATTCCCTATATCGGAGAAGGACACAATTTCTGATGCATCCGTCAACGACAGGTAGACAGAGCAGTATTTTGTTTTTCACGCTAGACATTCTTTTTGTACTTGCTGACGACCCCTTTATTTAGCAAAGTTCTTATGCATACAAAAAACCCTACAACCAAGTGTTACTAGATTTATACCCACTTCATTATTAATAAAATAATAAAAGATGAAACTTGCTGATCAGCTGTTGACCTCAATAGACATCAAAACGTGATGGATACTGGTGAAATAGAGTGGCCCAGCAGTGCAGTGCTTTCATGCTGAATAGCAGTAGCCATGGAATAGCTTCGCAGTTTTCACTTGACGCTCATATTTTATAGTACGATGATTAAATGTTTCGAACTGTCACAACAGCTATTTCACACTACTACCGATATTAAGTATAAAAGCATTATACCACTGAACTGCTTTATTTTGGCTGATACCTCACATCATTTTGAAAAGCAATATGCAAATACAATTTTTTTATCTTTGATCATCTAGTACCTTCATGGGCACCAAAATATCTGGGTTACCTCATATTTGCCTCTTTATTACCATATTTAGTACTCTGATAAAAAGTTCTGAACTGGAATATTGTAAAGAAGTATTAAACTTGAGTCTTGACACATGGTCATACCAAAATGAAAGGACCAGATTGAAATTCAATTTTCTTTTAAGAAATTCGTATATTTTCTCTTTATAGATATATAGGTCACTCTAATACTCCTATTGGCAAAGTCACTCTTAAAACAAGTACATCATAGATTCCAATTATAGGACCAGATTATTAATGGAAAATTTTCTAAATAACATCAGAAATATATGATAGTAATAAATATTCATTTGTCCCAAATGACCCGAAAGGTGTTATTTACACCAGCAAATACTCATTAGAGGAATAGAGAAACATAAAAATACACAAACAAAATTATAGCTATGCGCTTTTTGGCATTTGTTAATTTGCACTGCTACTCTTTTACAGAAAATCTTGAGGTATGCTGTATCAACAACATAAATTTTTATTTTCAAGTTGATATTGAGGCAACACAGAAACTACTTACTAGAAACATCAATTATTGCAGACATTTTTATATTGCATTGCATTGCAAAAGTAGCAATATAAATACCACAAATGCAGCCTACATTCCTTCATACACACAGTAACAGGTAACTAGGGCAAATTTTAAATGTTATTCTTATTTTTATTTATTGCACAGAATTTCATTAATCGAATACCCTGTTGAATACAGGTTCATAACCACACTTTTCTCGAATAAGCAGAACCTCTCATGTAAAGGTAACATATTATTCTATATCATCACTATCTATTTTCCAAAGTATTAAAAGACAAAATTAATCTTGGAAGATAAATTCTCAATAACAATCCTCCAGCTGCATGCATATTATTTGAATATTAAGCCTGCTTTTTATTTATCAATCTAAACAAGGTAAACCCCTTAAGGAAAGGTCTATAACCCCAAGAGGAAAAGTTAGTTAGGAAAAAGTACTTGTAATACAACATCCTGTGGTTCAATTTAGCACAGATCAAAACATGGAGATTTATCAGTGAAACACAGGATAAGTTTCAGAAAATGTGATAGGAACCAGACAGGTCTGTTTACAGAACATTTTACATAAACAAAATTATCTCTAGGTATTATGTCTGGATGCAGGTATGCTTCTCCATATGGCATGCTTACAAGTTTTTGTTTTAGTAGTAAGAGTGTGATTGAATGAATATTGTATGAACACCTTATGAGCTTCTAGATGTAAGGAATTATTTTTTACAAATTATTCATAAGACTGGTTGGAAAAATTCTTTGATATGTATATGTAGCTTGTTTTGATACAACAAATGACATAGTAGCAAAAAACTACTAGATTATTTTATAGGCTGGAGGCATAAATATGCACTTTTATAATAGTATTAAAGTCATAATTCTAACATTATAGTTTATCGAAAACTGAGAGTCCTTTTGCATGGACATGACTGCAACATGTCTGATATAGAAAGTTTTGTAGTGAGGTGTTATGAAAACAGAAACTCTTCCAAAATATAGTATTCCAATAATGAACTCTTGACTGTTAAAATTATATAGGTATTCAACTATGTTTTGGTAACAGCCATAAGTATGATACGTTGTAAGTACCAAAACTTTTAGATAATCAAGGACTAACCTAGTAATTGCTGTATATTAGAGGTATAAGGTTTATGATTTTGAAGTAGCAGGGTGTTTCTCAATTTAAAAGGAATCAACAAGAAATATGGAAGAGTTCTTAAACCTGGTGTATGTCACTTCTAATGAAAGATTTATGGCTCAACTTCTTATTGTAACAAAGAAACTAGTTCAGAAAACAAAGTTATGATGGTTTTACTGTTTGTTTTATATTGTTCAAGTCATAAAAATCGCAATATCGTGATGTCTCTTATCTCCTGTTCCAAACAAAAGCAGTATAGAAAGGGTTTTAGAAATGAGGTAAATTGTAATGTTTTGACTTACCTCTAGGTCTTCGTAGGTTTTGAATTGTAAGATAGCAAAACCATCAATGATTTCCTCTTCGCAGAGGGGCTCCTTCGCTTTTTTCCTCCTGTTTGGGGGCCGAGGGGGCTTCGCTGGCAAGGCATCCTCGTCACCGCTATCACCTGGGCCCTTCTGCTGGCATTCCCTTTGGGCCTGCATGCGCTGGGCCCTTTTCCGCCTGCGGTTTCGCTGCTTCACCTCCAATGTGTCCATCTCTGTGCCATCAGGGGCCGATGTACGGGGCGCAACGCATCGGGGCCTCCCGGGGGCCGGATCTCAACCGAACGGGTCTGCAGGCATCGCGAACGCGTACCGACACTTGCACCGGACACTTTTCGCGTATTTTCCGGGTGTTTTTCGTTGATATTTACACGGGGATTGTAAGCAGTCAGTCGATAACCATGTTAAAATGTCGCGACGGGTGACGCCATCGCCGTCTGACGGCCGATATGCGAACTATAATCATAGCTTCATGGCCGCCAACACAACGTACGGGAACGGTCAAAAATCCCCAACCGCCAGGACGTTGGTCGCGGTCGGCACGGCTGATGCGCGGTTGCCGCACTTACGTTGACTTCCTTGGTTCTAGCTGTTTTTCCTATACAGATGATAAACAGATGGTATAAACGTTTCAACAAATTTTATACATTAAGAAAGTTTCTAACGACTCATTGGCTCTTTCTAGAAGAGGGACGGTTTGGATACCACAATTATTATTATATATATTATATTATTATTATATTTGTGATATAAGAAACAGAAAGAGAATCTCACAAAATCCATATCCATTTGTGTATTACGCAAATACATTTTGGATAGGATATCGGGTTGTCGGTTGTTCGATTTTTTACATTTTCTGTTGTTTCATCAACTTAAAATTAAAAATATTGTCTCAGAATAATTATTATTAGCTAAGGGCAGTAAGTTGGAAATATAAAATACTTTCCTTTAGACAGTCTTCAAAATTCAACATGCATTTCGCAAAGATTTTAAGAATAATATCATGTGTATTTGTCTCTTCCATCTACATAAAAAATGCTTTTAGTGTTCGTACTATATTAAGAGTAGTAACTTGGATTTGTTCATTAAGCTATTTAAGTGCATAGTAAAATTTACAGAGTCTGTTTAAATTACAGAATGTCAAATTTTTGCTGCACGCCACTGGAGGCAATAACGTTCAACGAGTGCTTCAATGTTCTCTGGGACGGAAGAAATTTCACTTTATGCAAACAGAATGAGAAAAAATACCCATTCTCAAGAAAAAACCCAGGGATAAATGTAACACTTCTTTAAAATTCGATAATTTATATAGGTGTATAGCCAACTTTCGAAAAATTTGAGAAATTCGTTTTTTCAGGATTGTCCAAAGACCAAAAAATGCATAGAAAAATTTCCAATATCAAAAATAAAGAATCTTCCGAAAATATCGGGATTTGAATTTGGGTAAAATTTTCCATGTTGCAAAGCACCTATCCACCAATTTATTTCGAACTGATTCTGTTGAAATTTTGTACGACACCAATATAATCACCTAGGAGTGACGTAACACTAGACAGGCGGTTAAAAAATACAGGACCGGACTCCTTTTTTTCGCTTTTGTGTTTTTATAGCAAAATCAACACTTTTAGGCTGACTGTTGAAATATTTGGCTATGTTAAAAAAAGCCAATTAATGATGCTAGCTAATTAGCATTATAGTTTGATTAAGCATCGTTTTGTTTTTATTTAGAACATTCTATTTTTGCAAATATCTTTTCTCTCTTATTCGTAGCAGTTTGTGTGACAAAATTTCGTTATCAACTTAATTTCATCATTTTTTACACAGTAATGCTCAAAACGACAGAAGAAAAGAGGTACATGGTACAAATAGATTTGAAAATCAATGCTTTGCTTCCGATTTAGTAAGTTTTAATTGATGTTATACAGATATGCTTTAAAGAGAAATGGCATTTAGTATCCACATACACTGAATTTGACTCTCTAGATCAATTCAAGATTATGGTGAAGACGAATAAAAACTTAGTATACAAATCCGCAGTCCACACTCAGCATTTTCAGCACAAACCTAGGTTTGATATAGTTACATAATGCACGCAATAATGTCCAGTGCAGATCTGCATACTACGCTTTTGTGGATGTTCACTTTAAGTCCATGTTGAATTGTTAAGGTCAAGTTTAGTTGAATTGCATTACAAATGCCACTTCCTTTTTAAGCATAACTCGTACTGTTTGCTGTTGTACAATTCCAGATGGTGTAATTTAAATCATTACCGAAAAAAGTAAATATGGTGCATAACATGACTGTGCGCATTGCACGTTACTTTATGGTAATTTATAAAGTAATTCCACAGGTCAGGTACAAGCAACAAAAAAATATAGATGTAAATCACAATGTATCATAAAAAAATAAAAAACAGTAGCGTCAGCTTCTATCTTGATGAGAGACAATTGTAAAAGTTATATAAAAACAGTTAAAGAACTCTTTATCACAATAATATATTTACGCTTGCATTCGAAAAATTAATTAAATACTAGGAAATAAAAAAGTGAACCCAGCATTGGAATTTTGTGTCCCCAAAATAAATTTAGCTTAAGTTTAGGTATTATTTTGTCAACTTCATAATCCTTAAAGTTTTAAGTTTTGTGCCACATAAACTGTTGAAAATAAGATATAATAAAGAAATAAATATTTAACAAAAAAGAAGAGGCGCAATACATCTATTGATCTATTTAATAATTGGTTTTTTGTACACAGTCAAACACACACTCCAATATTCAGCTTGAATTGATAAAAGACAGACAAGTGATAAATATTGGATTTCGTAACCACTCGTCTAGTTACAGGCTGCTCCTAGGAAACTTTATTAACGTGCAAACTTTCAACATAATCGGTTTAACAGTGCCTAAGGTCTGTGTTATTAAAGATTTGGCAGGTTCAGTATCCCCGTAAAAACTGAATTTAGAACTTTCTTATTTTCAGAATGGAAAGGTCCCGGATCATATTATTTACTGTTACGCTATGTCCATATGGAACACCCTGTATAGTTTTCATCACATTTTAGGTACCTTACCTGGCTAAATGAGGTACTGAAAACACTGAATACACGATTCAAAATCACTCGAAAATATGTCAAGTGGCACGTGAAACTTCTACCAGGAAAAAGGTAAACATACAAAACTGTGTGCTTTACACTATCATGTGTAATGTAATACTTTGTTTAATGGATGTGTGAACTAAATTCCAATATTGTTTTATACATAAAGCAGTGTAAACAATTAATAGTAACCTAGTACAATGAAAAACACGCATTTAAATTAGGTCAATTATTGTATATAGGAACAATATTAAAATAACGTATGCCCTAAAAGTTTTGGCACACAATTCATTGGCTTAAAATTTCGACTCAAAATTCTAATCACCATTTATCAGTAGACTTAAAATTTGTAATAGTATGCTCAAAATTACAGCACTCCTAGTCGGCGTTGCATTTTCTATATAATTTAGTATATAAACAAAAATCTTATACTGTTTGCCGATGACACAACAATGCTCTGTAGTATCAAATCGATTGATCTACTTTTCTCTGCAAATATTGAATACATAATAAGTTTTTCTCACTGAGTACGTATCAGAAATTTAAAAATAGATGTATGTGAAACCTGATAGGGGAGACTCGGGCAAAAAGAACCATAAGGGCAAAAGGAATCAGTTGAAAAAAAATTACTTCTGGCAGATACTGTAGTTCTCCAGTGTTTGATCCCGGTCATGTTTTTACCGCCAATTTAGAAAATGTAACCGTCTTGAATTCTTGATCATGGTTTCAATAGATGGAAATTATTTTAGTATTGTTATAAGTTGAAGCATTGAATTATGTGGCGATGAATAACGTTTTGTGTAGATTGTAACCTCACATTAATTGTGGCGCTGTTCAAGGGTTTGACATTTATAAATAATATTTTAATGTGTTGCATACCTACTGGGCAAGAAGAACCACGCAAAAAGAACCGGTCCTATTTGCCCGGCTCCTTTTGCCTGCTATTCCGTTGGATATACATTTTTTTCAAAATTTTTATTATTGTTTCAGAATAATGGTTTTCAAGTATAAACGAAAAACAGAAAGAGTCCGAGGACGGGACGAAAACGTAATGAATCGCGCAATAAATCCAATTAACCAAAGAGAAACATCTATTCGCGGTGCCGCTCTGCAGTTTAGAATTCCGTATCCCACTTTACGTAAACATTTTTTAAAGCAGCCCTCCAAAAAACAACGGTTTACACTAGTTTTTTCTGGCGATATAGAACAGCAACTTGTACAACATATTCAAGAAATGGACGCCCGTTTTTATGGGTTCACAAAACAAGACATGCATTTTAGCATTTGAGTTCGCAAATCGAAATAATTTGCCACATCATTTTCGTAATGGTACAGCTGAGGAGCAATGGTACGAGTACTCAAATGTTATGAGGCGATATCTCGAATTAAGCCTTAGAACTCCATAACCTACAAGCATTGCCCGGGCTTGTGGATTTAACAGGCCCCAAGCGCAGTTATTTTTTGATCATTTAAATAATATAATGAAGAAAATGTACCACGCCTCGTCTGCGGAGATATTTTTGGCAACTCTAAGTCTAGCGAAACATGAATAGAATGCAATATGTGTCAAAACTGGGCTCATCAATTATATTTTTTTAAAGATGTATAACTATAATTATATATTTTTATAATATATATTTTGTTTCTAAATATAATAGAGTCTTATTTCAAATTAAAAAAATAATAATTAGGATTTAATAGAAGATTTTAAAAGCTGGCGACTTAAGGTGGTTCCTTTTCCCCTACATATGTCGAGCTTAATTTTCGCGATTACGCGGGAACTAGAATTATGATAATGGCTACGTTACAAACTATCAGAAACCGGAACAAAATATTTTTCAACTTTTCACACGTAATCCTTAATCCATATAGATTTCAGGGTAAGGTAAAAATGGCTCGAAATCTACTTTGGAACCAGACAGACCTATTTTGTAGTGCATGTAGCCTGATTGCGCCCTTGCACGTTCGACAGTCCCTTTTTGATGCACGGCGGGGGACCGCGCAGCCCCCGTTACAACAATGGGCCTTTTATATTGCAAGGGTCCCAGACGTCGTGAACTACCAGTCGCTGCTACCGACCGGCGATTCTATTCTCATGTGTGGTGATAACGTCTTTTAACGGTTTTTAAAGGTCAGGTACTGGGTTTTTAGGTACGGGTCAATTCTAATTTGATTCTCAGGTGTCAAAGTTAACAGGCTAACTGCCAATTACGAATTATCTCATCGTAACTTCTTTACAGATTAATGTTGTCTGACACATAGCAAAATGTTTGGGGAAATTGTAAGTGAATCATAGGCGCTCATGTAGCAAAATTCAAGAGAATACTTTGGTAGTCCCAGAATTCATGTGAAGTGATTGTAAATTAATGTTCTTCAATTTAATATACAAATCAACCTTGAAATTACTATTTCACGGGCTACAGCTTAAACGGCTTGATGCATTTTAACATCTAGATTTGTCTTGAGAGTGCAAGTAACAGCGGGTATACTAACATTACTACATTTCGAAGCGCAACCCCAATAGCTTGGATTTTGATATTTTAGGTGTACTGAGATTCATCTGAATAGCGCATTGATTCTTCATTCTTCTCAGTTACTGCAGTAGGATTGATTAAGGTCTAGTAAGGTAGTTTTCATTGATGCTTTCGAAACCAAGGAAACACACAGGCCACTCGTTGCTTAAGAAACCTCCCCTTGCCCCCCTAGTGGGTGCCTATGGTATGGAAAAATTATTTGGTGAAGAGTGAAAAGGGTTGCTCTACGAGCATATGGGTCGTGCCAGGTAAAAAATGTTCCGCTACGATCTTTATTTGCAAAAAATAGGGTTAAAAGTAGTTTTTTATTTTTTTTTTCATCCAGGGAAAGAACCTAATGTTTGACAGCATGTCCCCTCTGGTAGCACTCTGTGACCCTGTGACGAATATGAGATCTGGCACGCCATAAATTCCGAATCAAAATATTATAGATTTTAGTTTTGTTTGTTCTTTAAATGATTTTTATAAAAATTTATCCTGGACCTCAGGGAAGTCCTTTGATGGTCGGCTGGTGCTTATTTTGTAGAGAAGGTACTGTAGTTGCATGACAATAAAATAAAAATTGTCTTCCTGTGATTTGAAAAAATATGGAATCTTGTTTCTAAATCTTCTAAATTGTTAAACATTTCTTAACGAAACTCAGTAATACTTATAGTCCTTCGATAGCGAAACATAAGGTTGAAAAATAAGAGCAAAGAACTGTGTTTGACCATTATTTTTAGAAAAATCGTAATCGCCGTATTTTATCTTATTCACCAGCACAGCTCACTGCAGGTAACAAACTTATACTGATTGAGCGTTCTTCAAATATCAATGTAGCATTATCGCATTAACATCCACAAATTCTGGGTTAGGAACATATAAAAAATATGAAACAAACCTCTACGAAAACTGCCGGTAGCAAGCAAAAAAATTAAAGGACAAATCTCTCATTCTTGAATCAAGAACTACGATAAAAAATCAAAGGATCACGCAGAATGATAATAGTTTGTGAATGCTTGTGTATAATTTTTACTGCTTTAATAAGTTTTAATGCCCTTTTATGACCCGCACGGGTATTACGTATCTTGAAAAGTGACATTTTCTCGTCTTTTTTCATGCACATCCAGGTGCAACCTTGCTATTAAGCCGACTTCTTTCTTTCACATCTCGGAGATAAACACTACTTGACTTTCTGCAACCAACAATGCAGACATGAGCGTGTCGAGTCATTCCTCCATAGATGGACGGTTTTGGTCACGTGCATAGCGATCATAGTGAGCAAACGTGGAATGAACTATTTGCACTCTAAAAACTACCTAATCTGCAAAACGACATTTTGTCAGTTTTTTGACGTTTTCAGTTATTTTACATAAATACCCTAACTTCTTTGATAGAAATTCACCGTATAGACCCCTCCCAAAAATATTTTCTAGATCCGCCCCTGGTAGGCATGAAGAACTTTCTTTGTTATTTCTTCACATACATTCGATATCAGGATCTGATGTGTTGGAATAGTTGCACTCCTGTAGAATTACATTGTATAAAATGATCAATCCTTTGTGCTATGAATAGATTTTGTTGGTAACAGTTGTTTTTAGGCTCATTTCATTTTATTCATCAGCTTGGCAACACTGCTTCCTATGCGTCGCCATCTGTTAGGCGCGAGTACTAATTAAAGAAAGAACTCATGCAGGCAGCTGTCTACGATGCACTGTGACGAAAGTTATAGTTTCGTTTGTCGCTAATAGATGGTGCGACGTAAACGAAAAAGTTATATTAGAAACGATTTTCTGTTTTTATGGGCGTACTATCTATTTTTCTGAATCCTCTGCTACTTGAAAACACATCGCTAAATTCTTGATTCAAAGGGATATGTTGTGCCATCTATATGCGCTCTTAAATATGCGTAGTTAAAGTTATCGACCAGAGAAGAAATCCATATTCCTCCAACACATGGGAAACAGATAAAGCATTGGAATCGTTGAAATACATAATCTGCAATTCAGTAGCTTTATTGTATAATGCGTTATAACAATTAGTTCCTATAACATTTCATATACTTATAAGTTATAATAACTAACTTACACAAAGAGGGAACGTTATTAAAGTTAAGCTACTGAGCAGCAGATGTCGCTGCAGAACCAAAACAAAAACTTATCAATAAATCACAGAGAATGGAACTCCTCCTTCTGTTGTTTTTCGACTTATCATCCAATAATTTTTAAACAAATCTTGGATAACGTGGCCTATTCTTCGCAACCATCCAGAACTTTGAACTCTTTATCCAAACACTTCTTTACCTCGAACTTGTAAAGTGTACTGTAGCAAAAATGTGTCAAGTGCTGCAACCACATCTTTCAGTCGGCAAGATAAATTCGCTGTTGATATTCTTCTGCTTAATAGGGCTAGGGTTATCCATTTACACCTATGTTGTGGAGTTGCAGCTAGAACACGATGCGAGGTACAAACCGATGTGCGATATCAGCCCCCATATGAGTTGTTCCAAGGCCTTTACATCCGAGTAAGTACGTTTTTTAATAAGCACCGCTTAAGTTTAGAATCAGTAAAATAGTTGTAACAAACTATTCCAGGACTTCACTTTACAACGACAAAAGTAAATTTTACAATTACGAAAAACAGATTTTGTTGTAATGCATGACATACCTCTACTTGCATTTAAATTGTTAGTACGGGTAATAGTGTCAGAAATTTGCATGTTTCATATTTTCCAGTGTTGCGCGAATCACGTGGTTTTTGACTTGATAGATGCTGGCGGGCTCATAGAAAAGGCACAATATGCACTGCAGAGAATGAATTATTTCATTCTGAAGGGAATCGCGTTCTGAATAAAAATACATATGCCCCCTCCATGAGGGCTCAAGAGACCCTTGATTGCATGAGAATCTGGTTGGCCCTTAATGAGAGGGCTTGACAAGAGAAACACAATAGACAAAGTGACGTCATTTTCAATCCAATATGACGGCAAAAATCGCTATTTATATTTTTCGTAGTCCCTCCTATGATATTAAGTGAAAGTATTCAATGCGAGGGACATAATAAGCAAAATGATGTCAAAGTCCTATATGGCGCATTCCGCAAAATGGCGATTTCCGTTCTTCATAGTCCCCCTATGATATACGTATCAAATGAAAAGGCTTGATGAGAGAAACGCGATAAGCAGAGTGAGGTCCCAAGATGACGTATACAGGGTGTTTCAGTTTATTGTTGCATAACTTTAAGATTCGATAGAACTTTTGAAATTAATGCATAAAGTCTATATAAACATGGGTCGAAAAATGCGTGGCTTCCGAAATACAGGGTGTTTAAATTTACTTTCTAAAACAGTTTTTTTTAAATATTTCGAACAATATTTGATGTATAACAGTGAAAATTGGTATACAAGGGTTTTTTGGTACGACAAAACGAACCATGGGCATAGTTTTACTGTAGCCGCTAGAGGGCGCTCTCTACTGTACCTGTAGTGTATTAAAATGACCGAACATTTTTTCTTAGTGCAATTTTTGCTTTTTGAATAAAAAAACTGATTCTTCGCACTTTTCAACATAAAAAAGCTCTCTTGTGAATTTTCGTTATAGTTAGCCGTTTTTGAGATATTTCGATTTTTAAGGTTCAATGCATTTTTAATTATTTATGATAAAATAACGTTAAAAAGTCAGTATCTCGATAATTTTTAGAAGTAGGCTGTGCCTGCAAATATTTTTGAAATTGAAAGTAGAATAAGGTTAAACGTCAATTAGTTGACAGTTAGTTCTGTTGAAACCTGAAACGTTTTTTTGCAATTGTGAATGCACGAAATTTAGTTTCTTTTACCTGTTTTTTTTGTAAGTTTTATAAAAATGCCATTTTATTCTCCAATCGATAAATCATGGTACAGGGATTCGTACTATAAATAAAAGAGGGTGTGGTTGCCAATCATACCGATGATTTCTAAATGATACTGGAATATTTCAGGTATGGGAAAGGTTTCGGCATCTTCGGAAAGTCGTCTCCACTCTACAAACCCAACAGTCTGTTCGGACTTATGTTCTACAGCATGATCGCAACACTTGGTAAGTAATTGTACCAAAAATTGCTGAAAAATTGTTTTTTGTAAAGCTAACGAACGGTAATACGAGGGTTGTTTCGAAAATAGTGTTTCCAACGGTGCAACTTTGCCGCCCGTGATGCTAGGCGAAATCCGGCAACACCGTCATGTTAGTCGGCTCCCCCACCACCGTTCCCAACAAGAAGCGCCTATTGGCGATGCTCAGTACCGACCTGACAGCCACGCTCATCTCCTTGAGGCGGGAATGAAAAAGTGGATTCCACGTGTAAAAAAATGCGACTATGTAGAAAAATAACTTACAGATCAACGTTTCCAATGGTAAATTCGTTTTTTCAAATAAAAAATTCCTTGTGCTTAAAAAAAACGTGGGAACCATATTTTTGTAACCACCCTCGTTCATTACCATATCTATACAGGGTGTCCTAACCGTGCGAGGCTGGAGTATTGCTTCTAATTACAAATTTTTCAAAGAAAAATATTTATGGATCATTATATTCGGTATCTAATTTTTAATTTTTTTTATTATTTAATTGGGGTGATTGAAAAATTAATTTAACTTTTTTTGAATTTTTATCATTAATTTGTGTATATACGATCTATTAGTTCTAAAATATTCACAATTGTACAGGGTGTTCCACTTTTGATCACATATAAAGGTTGATTTTTTTTAAATTGGAATGTACTACTTTTTATTACACATTTGGATAGGCCGTTTAAAAAGAAGAAGATTGATATAACATACTTATGGGTTTTGGTTATTAGTAGTTGAATAAATAATCGGCATTTTATATAAGAAACATCACAAAGTTTAACAACCTGCATATCTGCTATGTTGACAGGTGGAGTCGTGAATTTCTCGCCAAAGTTTTTTCACTTCACTCGAATTTAATCTGATTCATCTATTTCTAGAATTTTTTGAATGATCAATACAGGGTGGTCAAAAACGCAAATTGTATTTTTTCGCAAAAAAATGAAAGGAACACCCTGTATATTTTTGCATCATCGTATCCACATTTTCATGAGCTGTTTTTAATATAAGGTTGATACCTGTTTGTTAAAACGGTTTTTGCGGTATAGCTTTTTGTTTCAAAGAATTGTATATTTTTCTTCTCAAAGAAGTGACATCATCCATGGAAACAAAAAACAAGGAAATTATTATGACAATCTGTCTATAAAATCAGGGTTCTATCAAGAAACCAAGAATGACTGATTGTTTCCCGTATGTACAGGGTGTTCCATTTTCGATGATGCTATGGAGTATCCGCTTAAGAGTAAAGATAGAGCGTTGCGGCTTTCGCAATACTTGCGAAAGGATAGATGATATGAATAGAATTTGAGCTGTTTGCTATGTTTAACTTTTTGTAGTGGGTCACCCTGTATATTTTTTTTCGTTGGAGATACCTCGGAATATCATCAAAAACGCTGAACACTGAAACTGAAACGCTTCTTATGTTCTGTGCTTCATATCATTTGATTGTTCAACGGCAACGGAACATTTTTGAACAAATAGTAGTTATGTTTACTTATAGGCGTCATTTTCAGACATCTCAAAAAACTAATTTTATATTGTAATATCAATCTGTAATAATGAATTACAGCACAAAAGCACTGAATTATTGGGTTGTGGGATAAAATCTTGATTTTATGGACATATCAATAATTCTTTACTTCTTTTTCACTTCTAAGGATGATGTGACTTTTTTGAAAAGAGAAATGTCCAATTTTTAGGAACAAAATATTTTTCCCTACGGCCTGATTTATGTTTTACTATCTAATTATTGTCATTTTCTTTTTGTTTCAGCATTTTCTAACTCAATGTTCATCACAAAGGTGTCCTTGGTGCTGATAGTTTTGTCAAACATCATTTCATTATGGTTCGCCTACGTCTTGTATTTTATTCTCTTCGACTTCTGCATAGTATGCGTTTCTACGTACATAGTAAATGTTTTCAACTTTCTATTGATACAGCTGAAGGTGAAAAGTCTTGACATTGAGCAAGAGAGGTCCCAACAATCACGAGGAGTTAAGCGAGATTAAATTGCGGAGAAAAGTTCACACCGTGTTGCTGTCAAAATGCGCACACCATGTAACTTTGAACCTGGCCTAGAAATATCTGTTAAGTTAGGTTTATTTAAAATTCTAAGACTCATCTCGTATTCGATAGTTTTTTAATGAACCTGTTAATCTTCCACAAACCTTCCTAATAGGTGTCAAGTGTCCAAAGTCCCGTAAGCCTAGGAATACCCAGGTCTGGGCTAGAAAAACTTGCATTGTTCAGTTCTACTGATAATTTCATTGGTACCCAAGAATTACTTATTGACTAGAGACGAAACGGTTGGTTCTGATTGTACCACAACAACTTTGTTGCAGTTGCTGCAAAAAAATTAAGTTTTGTCAGGTGTCCATGTTTGGTTTCATGAGCAGTTCCAGCTATAAAATATTTATATTTGTTGTGCTGGTTTCTGAAATTTGATTTTTTTCAACAATCTGACAACCAGGCTGGATCTTGAAACCTAGGATCCGGTAAGTGGGTGGAGGGCGTGATTATATTTCCATATTATCGCGTTCATTTTTAGAATAATCTCAGAAACTTTTTAAAAGGCCGACAGGATATTATTATCTACATGTCATGAGCCATCCAAGACGTAACAAAAAGTTAGGTAGACAAGTTATAAGATAATATTGTCTGAAAAAAACATTTTTTTCAAAAACAATGGCCTCAGGACAATAACATACTTTAACTTAGCATGGACACGAAATCTACACCCGGTCGCATTGATATTTTTCAAGAAAGTATGGAAATAAGTAAAAAAAAATGGATGAAAAAATTGATGAATTTTTAAATAAAGTGTAGGGGAATTGAAGGCATAATGGACCAGTTAAGGAAAATCGTTTATTTTCGTAAAAAATAACACGTTTATTTCCATTTATTATCAACAGTGCAAGAAAAAATATATGTTCTTTCCGAATTATAACTGAAAATTTATTTATACAGGGTGTCCGCAAAGTTGGGGTTTTCCTTTTCAGAAACAACTACCCTTGAAATAACAAAGGTAATGTGTAGTGAAACGAGGGCGACCAAGTAAAAAAAAAATAAAGGAAAAAGTACTCATTCTCCAGTTGACCAGAAGGGCTAAGTACGTCTCTGCCCGAAATCATACCGCTCCAACAGAAAATAAAATCAGCTGATGCGCTACCGAGCAGACGCAGGCAAACAAGGAAGGCAAAATGTTGCATAAAAAGTCTAGGTCTAGGTTCACCATGCCAGCCCAAACATTCACAGAAAATGTTTGTTGAAAATGTGCCCGACGGACAGCGTGCGGATTTTCTACTGACCAAACATGAGTGTTGCGAAAGTTATTCACCCCTTTACGCGTGAACGTAGATTCGTCTGTCACCAATAAGCACTTCAAAAAGTCCGGATTATTGTCATGTTGATGCAACAATCACTCACAAAACCGCACTCTTGCTGGAAAATCTTCAGGTTGAAGGGCTTGTACACGTTGGACGTGAAACGGATACAGCCCCTCTTCACGCAGGGTTTGCCACACTTTAGTTTTTGATACTTGCACTTCTCTAGCCACGTCTCTAGTGCTTGTTGAGGGATTCTCGTCTACGCGATTACCTCTACATGCGTGACCGTAACCGTCGGTTGAAGATTGCATACTGACCTGACACACTGACCCCGACCCAGTTCTGTCGTCGGGTTGAGCTAGTGTCCTAGTACCACTCGGGGATGTCGCGGCTACAGGACGGTATTCAGACATTTTTGATGTTGCAGAGCCCTTTATCTCGGTTCCCTTAAGACATTTTTGTATATGATACTAAGAAAAATTGCTTATGTTTTCAAGATCTACACGTCGTGTAAAGTAAGTAGATTATGCCATTTTTCTAACCATATCAGGAATTTTTTTAAAAATTGTACTGTATAATCATATTTATTGGTAATAGGCTTACAAAATTCGTTTCGCTTCAATTCTCCTTTTATTACACTTGTATTACTGACAATATCCCACCAATTCCTGATTATTTCCAAAAAGTGTGCAGCATCATTAAACTTTAATTCTTTCATAGCAGCTATTGTTGAGTGATGGAATAAATTATCTACAAAATTTACATTTTGCCTTTCAAATGAATTTGGATGCAATGTTTTATAATTTAATTTATATGCTTTCTTAACTACAGCTTCTTTTTCCAATTGATATACAGCACGAATGTTTTCAAATTTAGCATACTGAATAATATCATTATTGTCCAAATTAGTATATACAAAAGTTTTGTCTAGGTTTTTTAAATTAATCCAATTATTTGTGATACTCTTGAAAATATGCACATCATCATAAGTTAAATATATGTTCTTATCAGGATTATGTGGATTTGAAATAGAATAATTTTCTGATGAATCCTTTGCTAATTTCCTGAACATTGCTTTATTAATTCGGTGATTATCAGTAACAACACAAATAACTTCAAATCCACATTTTTGAACTAAATTCATCTTTGAACTTATCCATATCATCGAAATTCTGGATAGCTTTTTCATGTTTCTCAATTAATTTTTGTTTTCTTTGCATTGGGTCAGTTCTTTTGGGTGCTTTAGTTTTTGAAAGATATGATGGCAAGTTTGGGAAAATGGAGGGAACAGCATTTTCTTTCAATTTTGGATATTTCAAAGATATATTATTTTGGACTGTTCCATCCGCCAAAACTATATTTTCTGTCCTGATGATATCCGATTCTCTAAAATGACGACTGCAAACAGCTGAATATTTTGAAGGTGTCCAATTTTTTCTGGGAATTGCCATAAGCCATTTGTTTTTTAGACTTTCAGCACTTGGGAAGCGAAAAGTTGAAACATAGCTTTCTGTTTTCATAGCAGAATTATAGTTTGCATTGCATAAAGGAACACAGCAACAACGAGGCATATTGTCTGCGTCAAATACTTGATAAATGAAAAAAGAAAAATACAACCTGAATTTGCACGTTTTCAATAGTTGAAATCCTTAGCGTCCTGAGGCGCGAGCAGCCACAGTCACACTTCTTAGTTTATTTTTAAAGCACAGAAGCACTACAACTGGAGTCTATTTCTCATATATTATAGTCACCGATCACTTTGAACACATACACACAGTTTGAAGCTTAGAAAACAAGCTTTTCTCTTAATTACAGCCTCTGGGATTCCAAAATCACAAATTGAAAAGGTTATGTTTTCTCAGCGTTTTGAGCACGAGTTGCGTCGATGCAGCAAGCAGCGGCGGGAGTAACACTACCACCTACGTTGCCAGATTTCTTTGTTCACGGCTCGTAGTTGACGTCGGCTGTGACCGCACGCTAGCGGCTAAAGGTTAAAGCGCGTACCGCTACAAACCATCACAAAAATCCAATCAGCGGCCACAGAAAAACAAGAACGTGACCAACCACCTCAAACAGGTGGAGGAGTTCTCTAAGTTGTCTCGAAATCATGCTTCGGACTCACAAAACTACATCTACTAGCAAAATTTATAGCAAAATGGACTATTTGATAAATACGCATTGACCTGCCGGTCTTCAATCTAATTGCTTCCTAATTTACGAAACTACGTCCATTATTCTAAACGATAGCTAATAGCTATATTCTATTTTTAGGGGAAAGCAGTCAACGTGGACTGTGTATATCTGACTGATTTCAAAGCCCACGAAAAATGCAAATGAGTCTTAGATTTTCGAACGAAACATAGAAAATTCAAAGTGTCACAACAAACACGAGGAAGGTGTGACGCGTTTTGCTTTTTCTACAGTGACATCCACTACAATTTTGTGTACCTTTAGATGCAGATGTAAGCGACCAAGTTCAATATACTCAGGTTCTAAAATAGTAGACACAGTTTAATTCAAATTGCTAATATATGTGTATAATTTTCTCATGTTGCAACGATTTTTAGTAACCTATTGATCTGATAAAGGTTTGAAACTTGATTGCAAAATGTTCCAATTTCTGCCTTCACCTTGTTTTTTTTTGTAACTGATAATGCCAAAAACGTACGCATAGGTCAATTTTCACGCAAATCACGGCAAGGCCTATGATGAATATTAAGACCTATGCCTGAATGTGACTGATATAATTTATTATATATAGTGGTTTATTTGTGAATGTTGTAATGTTTTATTTTATGCAGTTAGTGTTGAGGTATATTAATAAATGTTTTGAATGCAAAGCGACTATTTTATTTAACCTCTAGTATCCCGATTCGTTAAACACGATTTGAGAATAGGCTGTTGCAGAAAAAACATGTAAATATATAAAGTAGAAAGCAACTCACTCCACTCTCGGAATGTCCGGGTGGAGGGTGGGCTCGAGGGAACAACATCGAAGATAAAATTTGTTTTTCCAACATCTGCGGGATCAACAGCAACATTGATGCTGTTCATCACTACCTGCAATCCAATCGTCCCGCCGTGCTTTTCTTGGCGGAGACAAAAATCTCAGAGGCTGCACCGATTAACCATCTCAACTTCCCAAACTACGAGGTGCACTCCAATCTGAGAAAGAACGGGGGAGTTGTGGCTTTTGTCCGCAGCAGTCTTTCCTGCTTCAGGGATCTTTCTTTGGAATCAGACCGAAAGGACATTCTGTGGCTTCGCCTCAACTCCAAAACATCACCCAAATTTATTTGCTGCCTCTATCGCTTTCCCTCGAACCATAACTGGGATGACCTACTCGAATACCTCGCCGTCCAGATCGAATTCCTGAACATCAATCACCCCGCTTCAGAGGTAGTTCTTCTCGGTGATTTCAATGCCCATAATCAGCTTGGGTTGGGCTCAAACAAGACCGATGCAGCAGGTCGTGCAGTCGAAGCGTTCGCTCTTACTCAAGGGCTGACCCAGCTGGTGATGAGCCCTACTTTTTTCCCCCGCGTCTCGTCACACGCCAGTAGCCTGCTGGATCTCTTTCTGACCACGCATCTTGCCCCTTACAGCACTGCCGTCCTGTCCCCCCTGGGTAACTCAGATCACGGTGTTGTGGAGGTTAGGTTTCGGTCAGAAGCCGCTGTGGCCGCAGAAACTCGCACAGGCCGCAAAACTTGGCATTACGGACATGCCGACTGGGAGGGGCTCAGAGACTTCTTTTCTAGCTTTCCTTGGAGAGATGTCTGTTTCACTGACGCGGATGCGTCGACTGTCTGTTCTTCAATAACCGAAATTATCCACGTCGGAATGGAGGAATACATCCCTCACACAGTGAAAGCTCCTAAACCGGGGTCCAACGGCTGGTTCAACAAATCGTGTGACACTGCTCGCCAGCAGAAGATCAAGGCCCACAGAACCTACTTACAAAACCCCACTGTAGAGAACAGACAAGCCGACGTCGAGTCCAGAAACAAATATAACGAAGCGGTTCGCAATGCCAAAACCCACTATTGTATTCGACTCAAAGGCCAAGGCGGAAGTGCTAGCCAAGATCTTTGCTGCCAACTCCACCATGGACGTCCCCACCAACGCCCAAGTGCCGTCAATTCAAAGGGTTCCCCACACTATGCGGGAGGTAACATTCAGGCATAAGACCGTAAGACGAGTGCTCTTGTCGCTCGACATCAACAAAGCTTCTGGTCAGGACTTGATTCCTGCCATTGTACTGAAGAGATGTGCAGCTGAGCTTGCTCCAGTTCTTTCGCGTCTCTTCCAGATATCTTATGAATCCGGCACCTTCCCAGAAAACTGGAAATTTGCTCATGTACAGCCCATCCCAAAAAAAGGATCTAAAACCGACCCTTACAACTACAGGCCTATAGCTCTGCTTTCTGTTATAAGTAAAGTGATGGAGAGGTGCATAAATCGCGAGCTTCTGGACTACCTCGAACGTCACAGCGACAGGCAGTACGGTTTCCGGCACCAACGATCCACAGGGGACCTCCTAGCTTACGTCACGCAACTGTGGAGTAAACTCATCCAGTCTCATGGTGAGGCTCATGTCGTTGCTCTTGACATCACGAAAGCGTTCGATCAGCTGTGGCACGCTGCCCTCTTGAGCAAACTTCCATCCTACGGCCTCCCAGAAAAACTTTGCAGATGGGTGGCTGACTTTATCTCTGGCCGCAAGATATCCGTCGTAATTGACGGATTCTCCTCTTCATCCCACAACGTCAACGCGGGTGTTCCCCAGGGATCGGTCTTGGCTCCAACACTGTTTCTCTTACATATCAACGACCTCCTTTCCTGCACGATCAACCCAATCCACAGCTTCGCTGATGACAGCACTCTACATGCAGGAATTCAGAGTGACAAGCCGATCTTTGCCGCTGAGCTGGAAAAAAGAAGACTAGCGACGACGTCTTCTCTGACAAGAGACCTGGAGGCTGTCACTGCTTGGGGACGCAACAATCTTGCTTCCAAAACACAGTACTGTACTTTGACGAACAAAAAGCGTCCTAGCGCTCATACAGTTTCGATGGACGGTCGAGTTCTACCAAAGAGCCATTCATTTCGGTTGGTCGGAGTCCGGATCACCGAGGACCTGATCTGGCACGAACACATCTCTTCAATAGCTGCAGCTGCTGGGAAAAAGCTAGGCTATTTGTTTAGGGCTAAGAAGTACTTTTCTCCGCATGACCTTCTCACTCTATACAAGGCCCAGATAAAGCCTAGCCTCGAGTATTGCTCACACATTTGGGGTGCTGCCGCCCCGACTACATTGTCCATGCTCGATGCTGTCCAGAGGAGGGCGGTCCGACTGATCGATGACTCTTCTCTAATGCCCGCTACATACGTAACGATATATCGTAGCGATTTCAGACTGTGCAGTTAAATCGAAATACCCTAGCGTCTCCACACGCCACCGATATCTGCGTCGATCTTCAGTTCTCCGCAGAAGCTCGCGCAAGAAACATGTCATCCATGATGGAAGATGATGACGCACTTGCGTTATTGGGCCTGGTTATGGTTTTAAAGAAAAAAAAGTAGCGGAGTGTGTGGTTCAAAGACAAAAAGTTAAGGTCGGTGTACTCTTGCATGGGACCAACTTCGAAATTGTGAAAAACATCAGCTGTTCCATAGAAAAATTACAATTCAATCAAGCGAAATGCGAAGCGAAATGTATTGGACAGCTGATTTTTTTTTTCACGACTCCAAAGTTGGTCCTATACAAGGAGTTGCTCGTACACATGAGTACATTGACCTTAACTTTTTTCGCGATGATCGAGAGTCACCCTATATAACCCAATAATGACGCGCTAAGCTTTGATTATTTCTTGATTGCGTATTTGGATAAATAGAGTTGCTATGGAAAACTTACTACCTTAATATCAAAAATGCATAAATGTATTTACCATGTAATAATCACACAATACCTATTGGAATATGTAACAATAAACAATAAATAATTTCTGAGAAATAAAGCCTACCTCATTTTCGTCCTCATCCATGTTCGATATCGATGGTCTCGGTACTTCTTGATCGTATAAAAAACTTAGCAACTCGAAGTACCAAGTGAGGAGTATAAATCTCGTCAGTTCCTGCTCCGGATTTATGCGATTTTTTTATTTTATTAAGCTCTTTTTTATATGCAGTTCTAAGATTATTAATCTTCTTAACCACTATGTCCCTGTTGGCATTTGGATCAATGTTTTTGTATTTTTCGACCAGCCTGTGGTAGGCGGCATTTTTTTGTTGCGATCATGGTGCTCCTTAGATTTTGTCTGCCAAAGACGATAAAACTGTGCAAACGCGATCGATAACGATTTATCTTATAGAAATTGTAACTGCCGCCATGAACGATAAATCTGCAATGATTTTTCATACACACGATCGATAAATCTGCGAAAATCGGTTTGCACAGATGAATCGCTACGATATATCGTTACGTATGTAGCGGGCATAACAGACAGTCTCGGGACTCTTTCGCACCGGCGGGCCGTCGGCGATCTAGCTCTTTTCTATCGCTACACCTGTTTACGCCTCAAAACTTTTTTCTATGTATACAATATCTATAATTATTTCCACTATATTCGCATGCGCGGCTGAAAAGAAGCGACGTTGCAATTAAGAAAGACAGACTTCCTTGTACGACCTTCGAAAATAAACACGTACATTTTGAGCGGGTGTTTCCCTTCTTCATTCACCTCTCATCAGCAGCAATATTACAAAAAACATTTTGGTCCTTCGAGCCGGATCTAATCAGTGCCGTGAATACCCTGAGAAGTCGAATTCCCTTGGAAGAACAGCCGAAATTCTCAAATTCACAAGTCCAGAAAGTGAGGTTAGGTGGCAGCAACACGGCGGCCATTGCAGCGGAGGCAGCGCGGCAACATCGCAGCTGTGAACCACGAACGGCGGCGGCTGACTCAACCGGCCAATCTACGTGTGGACCACGGTGAACTAGGAAGACAGTGGCGTTCCACTCAGAATTCCAAGGTACACATCCAGCTGCAAGCTAAAGTGAGATTACGCAGTGAGCCCATTCCTTTCATACCTTCATACTTACCAAAGGCCTAACTGCATATTCTCATGCATATTCATTCAATTGCTTAATTCTTACCTGAAAAACGGTGTATAACTTAGATTTCAATTTACACCAACTTGTGTGAATTTTTTGAAATTTCATACATACACGTTCTTACGCGCACCTTTCTTGTGCGTCGTGCTTACATTTCGACATTCCATAAACATGGAAGATTCATCTCTTAGAACGCTTATCCGTAAACGAGGTGCGTTTAAAGCACAGCTCACTTTATTCAAAAAATATATTACTCAGCTAGAGGAAGCGATGCAAGATGTTTCTTTACAGGCTTTAGACAAAACTCTCATCATTGAATTAGAATTACGGGTAGAAAAATACGAGAAAATGTTTAAAGAATTTGAACAAGTACAATCTGACATCGAATATACTTCAGATGATTTTGATGCACAGTTGCAAGAAAGAGAAAGCTTTGAATCAGTTTATTATAGTCTCATATCACCTTGTAAGAAAATTATCTCCGATTATTACACCGTAGACAGTGGCGTAACGGACACGGGTTCTGGCAGATTTCCTGCATCCCCAGCTATCAAATCCTTCGAAAAATCGCATTCTAACCAGTTTAATGTCAAATTACCAGAGATAAAATTGCCAAAATTCTCCGGTAGTTTAGAAAATTGGCTGGAGTTCAGAGACACGTTCGATTCTCTAATCAATAATAACACTTCGATAAACAACATACAGCGATACCATTACTTGCGA